ACACTCAAGACTTAGTAGTTCATGTCCAAAGATGAGTAAATAAATAGACTTGAGGGAAAAAATAGAAGGCTATATAGCATCACTTTTTAAAAACATACTTTTAATTTAAACTCCAAAATGGAAAAAGTTATTGCTGTAAGATTTAGGAGTTAAATGAATTTCAATTATTTGAAATACGTAAGTACAAATGAAGGTCTGAAGATTACTTATTTTTTTCTTGTTTCTTAAGATTCTACTAAAAGTGGAAAATATAGGGCTGATTTGTTTCAAAGATATTTAAAAGGAATGTGCTTTTTATAGGAATTTCAATTAGGTTAAAGTGTTGCCCTGTCTCAGTTTTCTAGTCAGAATCCAAATTCTGAATGATGAGGAACTGGTGGGCTGGTCCAAGAGTATTCAACTGCTAAAAGATAAACAGCATTAACAACGTTATTTTTTTCCCTAAGTGATCTTTCGTGTATAACACCGTACTTCTGCCTGTGTAGAGTCGTCTTGAGTAAAATTAGCTATTAGGCTTTTAGATTGGAGGCTTTTCTGTGTTTCAAAATGTGATCCATGTACAGGGATATAATATAGGACAAATTAAAATAATATTTAGCTCCTTGCAAGAGTTTAAATTGGCTTTTTGACATTTCACATCTTACTGTTTTGTTATTCTAAAATACTCTGTGTAACAGGTAAGTTAAATGTGAGTTTTAAAAGAATGGTGAAAGCATTTTGATGTTCACATCATGCTCCTCCAGGGATAATACCATATGGTCAGCACTTAGTGGGTGTCGAGGCCCGTTGTTTTGTCTCTTACTAAGTTTGTATAGCACGAGACCTTTGTTCCAGTTTGGGGTGTACATTGACTTCTTAGGGACCTGGTAGCGCGATAGGGGTTTAACTTTGAGACGGATGGGACAGCGCTGCGTCTCAGAGATAAGGCGGGCTCTCATTCGTCCATTTACAAAAACCTGACTGATCTTTTCTTGATTAAGCAGGAGAATACCGTATTTACCCTTTATTGTTGGTATAAACCATTATTTTACTGAGAACCATTAGCTATTTAAAACTTGGTACATAAATTAAAGAGGAGCTAAATGGATTTGTGATTGTTGCTATTAGTAGCATTTTAGATTATACAGGCAATTATTGTGTTCATTATCCTAGAACAGCCCCTTTGCAGAACCATTGTGGTATCTTAGACATTATGCACAAATTTTCCCTTGGAGATTAAAATTTCCAGTAGCGTATTTAATTTTGTTACCACAGTTGTTTCAAATAAAACAAATGTTATGACAAGCAGAAGAAAATTTGCTTTACTAATATAGGAAATTACAATAAATGTTGAAAATTGCTTGCTAGTGTACATAATTTACCTTTTCTCGTACAGTCATAATTACTTCGAGTGATTAATAATATATTTTATGGGTGGAAAGGTTTTACAATCATAGCAAAAGGTATTTGGTCTGTTCAGGTGTTTAAAGAAATTTTTTAAAGAAGGAAGAGATTCACATCAAAAGTGAAGTTACCGTCTTCTTTATAAAACCTGTAAGTTTACAAGTTAACTAGTTTTTATACTGAATATTGTTTTTAAGAGTCCAGATTGCATTTTAAGCGAGTTGTAGAAACTTTTTAAGCATGTTTTAGAGAAACGAGTATAAAAATATTAACTATTAACTAAAAGTGGACTTTATTAGAATTGACAAAAAAAAACAAAAACAAATTTAGATGATGCTATGTACTGTAGCTTGGTTGCAGTGATTTTCCAGGAAGAATAATCATAGTTCAACAAGGGCTACCTGAAAGAATGCAAAGAACAACCCGTTACCGAAAAGTTGTATTTTGCTCCGTAAACTTAAAAAGTTCGAAGTGATGAAGCTTCCCTTTGGACCCGAGGGGTGTGGGAGAGGACCGCGCCGAGCGGCAGTCAGGCAGTTGAGCCCCCGCGTCCTGGTCAGTCAGAAAGGTATGAATACTTGGAGTCATCTGCATAGCAGTGGGCAGGGGGCTGCTTTTCATTGCGGTCCTATAGGTGGCATTTTTTCAAAGGAAACTTTGTATTCATTTCTGACTGTTTTTGTCCCAGCTTTTACAGTCTTTCACTGCTGGGATGCAGGGAGAGTGTGAGGTAGTGGTTATGCATTTTGCAAGACAGTGATTCTTTATTTTATTACAGAAAAAAGACCAACTCTGCAAGGCCAGATTAAATCATTCCTTTCACTTTTTAATGGGATTTGGATGAATAGAGTAAAATATGCACTTTGCATTCATTGATAGCATCTTTAGGTTGAGGTAATTGAGTCTTTTTTCCCTGACTGAATGAATAATGACTTCATCTGACCCTCGGCGAGGCCTGACACTCAGGCCTCCTTTGTCACAGCAGAAGGGTCTGGGCTTTGAAACATGCTCTACTTCCTCAGCGTAATTTTTCTTCATTCTAATCCAAAAACCTATTTTTCTCAATAATTCAAGCATAAACTATGTAGTAGTTGAAGTAGCGGAAATTGCAAGATACTTGTCCTCGTTGTGCTGCTCTTTAAACGCGGTGGGTAAATCCGGGCGCGCTCTTGAGCGGCCCGGTTCTCAGGGGCTCTTACTGGGCGGCCTGCCGGAAGTTTCCAGAAGCTCGCAAGGGCTCCTGTGCAGCCTGCCCGTCCCCTGGGGAGGGGCCTGCAGGTGGAGGGCCTCGCGCTGACCCCTGGCCCGACGGTGGCCGCTTGTGCATAGCCGGAAGGCCCCTGCGGCCGCGCGCCAACTTGAGTGGCCCCGGCCCGCAGGCTCAGCAGGCGACCCCAGACCGCACCACGGTCCACAGGCCCCGCGCTTTCTTCCCGGGGCGAGGGCGGGGCCACGGGAGGCGGGGCCACAGGGACGGGGCCTATGGGGTGGAGCGGGGAGCCTCTGGGGCGGGGCCAGGGGGCGGGGCCTGTCGCGGGATTCCCGAGCCCCGCCCAGGACGCACACACCGCCGTGTCCTGGTGGGTGAGCAGGTAGAACCCGGGCTCTAGACAAACGGCAGGGGTTACTTCTGGCTTCTTGTGGTTCCCGTGTTTCCAGGCTGTTCGTAAAGGCCTAGGAGTGGCATCCGGCAGCAGCTGGGTTAGACAAGAAAACTTGGTGTTTTGTAATTTTATCACTGGTCTTCATCTTATTTTTCTTACTAGACTGGCTGTTTCTTGCAGGTGGAGTCTCAAGTGGGCTCATTTTTCATCACCTTACACTGTAGCAGAAAGCTCAGTAGACATTTCCATTTATTTAATGAGTGGATTTCGTCCTAGCTACACTTAGCTGCACTTTCTGACAAAATTTGGTGTTTTTTTCTAACTATGGGTTCGAATGTTTTCATGCAAGTCTGTGGCAGATGTCAGTCACAACCAGATACAGACCAAAGACTGAGGCATGGGGAAAGCTAACCTCGTTTTGGCCAAAATTAGGGGTTTTCAAAAGTACTAAAAAATAAGCCAAGTTACTAATTAATTAGCTCAGTAATTCTCAAACGTTTTAGTTTGAGAATTGTAGTATCTCGTTTATTTTATCAAAGTTATGGCAATCACTTTCTTTTTAGATTACTCTCTTTCACAATTTGTACGAGATTCGGGAGGAGCTCAGATGGTGGTCAACTGACAGGGGTGGTAGGACTCGGTCCCCGTCAGGGTCCCGTGAGTGAGGAGTAGGCAGGGTGGGCAGTCACCAGGGGCGACTGTGGGTTCTCCATGGCCGGCAGGGAGCCCACCTGGTTAGCAGGTGGGGAGCCGCAGCTTGGGGATGAGAAAAGCGAGGGTAGGCAGGGTAAGGCCAAGGCCACAGAGGTGGGAAATGCAGATTCAGATCTCAGTGTTTCCTAACTCAAAGAACGAGAACAGGAAAACGTGTGTGGGCTTATTTTGTCCCAGGAGCTGTGCTTCGTCTTTAACCCCCTGAGTCTTGTTAGGGAGGCACTTCTGTAACCCTGTTTTACAGATGAGAAAATGGGTGTACAGTTTGCCCAAGGTCCTACTGTGAGGTGGCAGAGCCAGCATCAAATGAGCCTACATTTTGATTCCCGAGGAAATATCATTGCTGTGCGACCCCACCTCTCCCACTGTGTGGTTCTGAAGCCTTTTTGCAAAGCCCAAGACCCCACCCCTGTGTCCACCCACATGCTGTACCACACTGTGGTCCTTCAACCAGGCAACTTAGCAGGGGAGGGCAGCGTGCGGACCACCAGAGCTTGAGATCACTTCTGACTTGAGCAATGAACACTGCTTCTCACCGTTTCCAAGATCCCACACAGAATGCACCCCAAAATGAGTTCATTCCCATGGACATAGCTTCCCCTCACGGTCTGCTCAGCTGGGACACGATCCACAGAATGAATTTGGGGTTGTATACCTTTTTGGGAGAACCTAAAGTGTAGGATTTGTGCACATTAAAAAGGTATTCAGTCAAGCTAACTACCTTGTCTGTTGCTTTTCTGCTTGATTCAGAGAAGGTTTTTTTAGAGACCCTCCTGGCAGAGAGGGATGACAGACACTGTCCTATTCCTGGGAGCCTCTACGTGAACATAAAATCCTTACGTGGAATGCACTTAAGCATCAGGTAGCTGGCATAGCACATGCAGAGAGACACACACATCCACCCTCCACAGACTGAGCAAGTCTCTGCCGTCCTCTGCGCCCCCACCCCCTGTCCCAGTCTGCCCCAGTCGGCTGTCATAGCATCTTCATCTTGAGAAAGGATCTGGGTGTTTTTTGGTTGGATACCCTGGACTCCCGTTGTCTCAGTAAATCCTTTCTGGGAATTTCCTGGGGATCATGACTCCCTTTCAGAAATTCTGCTTAAATCTCTAAGAGGCTTTTCAGGAGAAGAGTAAAGTTAATACCATTTTGTATTTCATTATAGTTAAGGTCCGTACAAGAGGGAATTTAGGTCCGTACAAGAGGGAATTTAAGGGTGTCATTCATCACTATCACGTATTCACATTAGTCATGTTAGGGACATTATGGTTATGCCCTAATTCTGTGTTTTTCTTTCAGGTTGGTTTGTTGGACCTTGAACTCAATCAGCTGACCAAAGCACTGTTTGTGGCTTTAGTTGCTCTCTCGGTTGTTATGGTAACCTTACAAGGATTTGTAGGCCCGTGGTACCGCAACCTGTTTCGGTTCCTCCTCCTCTTCTCCTACATCATTCCCATCAGGTAGGTGTAAGAATTAAGAGAAAACAAGTAACTGGTTTCATTGAGTTTGATTTTATTGAAATTTATCTTTGTCAGCATGGAAGAAGTTATCCACACAAAGCTAAAGAGGAAGGAGCCAACAACTCTGATGAATCTTAAGGAATGCTTCTATAGAAAATAATATTTTGGGGGGGCAAAGTCAGTTTTGTTAGAATAATCTAGAAATCTGGTGCTTTTCCTTATATGAATGTTTTGATAGTATATTCAAGAATTGGGAGATATTTCTTGATAAAACAAACAGTTTTGTTTACTGCCAGTAGACTACTTCTAGTAGCTTTGGATTATATGTGTCACTAAGTTATATTTCAGAAACCATCTAATATATCTGTCAAGTGAGATAAAATATTGAGTAAGACAGACTTTAATATGAACAATTTTTCAAAATAATAACTCATTTAACTTGAAATTGGGATCTAAATAGTTAATATTAGATGTCTAATGAGTTTACTAATATTTACAGTATGGATATATATAAGTCCATTCTAAAATATTTCCACAAAGTATATTTCAAAAAAATGCTTCATATATATGACTGAAAATTTTTACATGAATGAGCAGTTCAAGCCTAATCATGTATAAAGCATGAAGCTAGAATAAGCATCTTCTGTAACCCAGAGCAGAGTAACGTAGACTAGAACAGTCTTGCGCAAGGATGGAAACATTCTGAAGGGAAAGGCTTCTTTACAGACCAGCTTTCTCCAAAAGTTTGTCTAAAGGTGCTGTCCCTTCCACTTACGCACGTCTCTAAAGCGGGGCTGTGGCGTGCCCCCGGGTGCCATGCCCACGACAGTGTCCTGTGTACAGCCCGCTCCATCCAGCCCCCACTTGCTGGTTGAGACGGGGAGCTCGTCTCCGCCCCTCCGAGAACACGCAGTCGTGTGCATTCACGGCTGTTTCTGCTGGAACTGGAACACCTGCTCCCGTGGACACTCTCCCCTTGACTTCCTCAGCGTCATGCCTGATGGGGCCAGCCTGCCTTCCCAGCCCTGTGTGCCTCCCTCCACCACCACACCACACTCCAGGCTTGGCCCTTCTCAGCCGTGTGTGCTGCAGGAAGCCTCTCCTAACCTGGGCTCAGTACTCACTGCCAGCCAGCCTCTTGGTATCACAGCAGCCTGATTTAATTCTGCTGACGTCTCCACTGGTCACCGATACTTGGTCTTGCTTTTCTGATGCTCTGTGCTCACCACCCTCCGTGAGGATAGGGGCCGCGTTTGGCTCCGTGCTTAGAACAGAGTGCAGGGCGTGCCCCAGGGCTCATCACACCCTCACTGAACGGACCGTCTCAGAGGTCCTGCCCTGCTCTGAGGAGCTGCGAGTGTGCAGACCATCGGTCGAGCTGTCAGGCGGTGTCATCGTTAGCACCTAGATGCGTACCGAGTGCCAGCAGGGCGCTCTGGTGACAGAGCTTTGTCCCCAGAATCTCACTGGGTAAGTGGAAACAGGCAGAATATAGCTATTGATCAGTCTTCCCAGAACTGACCCCTTCAGATGGGATGGTCCAGCGGGTAGTTCCTGGTCTGACGCATTCAGCCCGGATGCCTAGTCACCATCCCCCCACAGCCCTGATCTGTGCCGGGCACGTCGCCCAGTGTCCCATGGGGACGTGGATGCGGTCGTAGGCCCGAAGCGTGCGTGGAACCCGGCAGAGAGCGCCTTGGCTCAGCTTACTGCCGCTCCAGCAGCCCCAGCCTGGTGCAAGGCACGCACCACGTCCTCAGTGCAGCGCGTGGAAAGAACGGCCCCAAAGGAAAGCCAGCTTGCAAATGTGATAAGTCTGTGTTGCTAGTGTTTTCACTCTTTTACAGTAAATGCAATACAGAGTTCACTGCCAGACGTAGCACACCAGTGGGTATGTTTCCCAAAAGTAGCCTTGGAAGCCTCCCTTCCCTTACTCTCTGTGTCCCCTCAACCACCCATTTCTGTGGATTGTATCTGCTGATTTAGCTTGACGTTGTTGCTCCCTAGATCAAGGACCTTGATGTCATTTCTGCTTTGAATGAATGTCACAGCTTTCCCCAGGAGCTTCCTGACTCGAGTCCGAGGCCGACAAGGATTCCTTCTACAATTCCCCACGGGAAAGAAGGCCACATGCCTAGCACCCCACACACAGCCCACTAGGTACCAGCAGCACTAAGTGCTGGAAGGTGTGAGCTTGGGGCCCCACTGCCCAACAGGAACCCCCTGCCCAGTGTGAGCCAACCCCCCTGCCCGGTGCGAGCCCTCCTGCCCGGTGTGAACCACCCCCTCTGCCTGGTGTGAACCAACCCCACTACCGGGTGTGAGCCCCCCTCCCTGGTGCGAGCCCCCCTGCCTGGTGGGAGCCCCTCCTCGCCTGCTCAGGCTGTGTCCACAGGGACCGGCCTGCAGGTGTTAGCTTGTTAGCACACTCCTCTCTTCTCCTTCAACTGCCAACAAAAGTCTCCTGCTCCTGCATCCATCGAGCAAACACCTATTTTCTTAGTAAATCCTGTGTTGTTTTGTTTTGCCTTGGTTTGTGCTTTTGCTTCATTAATCTTGTTTTTCTTCATTTGTGTTGCTTTTGTCAGTTCTAAGGTGTTTTTATGTTGTCCCTTTCAAGACTCTCATACAGTGCAGAAGGCCTAGTGGGCCTTCTTTTTTCTGGAGCACTTCCGTATTTAACTGGTGGAAGCCGCTGAACACTATTCAAATTTTTATTATATTTTTTAATGAAATATTTTATTCCTTTGGACTCTCTAATTTGTTCAGCATAATGACAGTATAAAGAGACTTCACATTTCTTTTGTCAAATTAACAGGAAAAATGAACTATAGTTACAAAATATAATACATTATAAGCATTTTTAGGTCGATACTAATTTTCAGTGTTTTTTTTTTGTATTTCAGTCGTATATATACTTATAGTAAAAAATTAGATAATACCTGATAACAAGAGAAAGAAATAGGTATTATCTGTAATTTTACTATTGATAAGAACTATAAAACTTTTCAGATACGTGTACATATACAGACTTATAAATATGAATGTGCATATTTATATATGTATAAATATACCAGCATTTACACAAAAACAGACCTTTGTTTGTTGTTGTTTAGCTTATATAGCCTTTTTAAAAGTCTTTACAAAATGAGGAATGTACTAAGTTTCTGCAAGTTCGTCTTGTTCTGGTTTTGCAGTCAACAGGTGTTTTTGTTGTTGTTTTTTTTAATTTTATTTATTAATTTGACAGAGAGAGACACAGCGAGAGAGGGAACACAAGCAGGGGGAGTGGGAGAGGGAGAAGCAGGCCTCCCGCTGAGCAGGGAGCCCGATGCGGGGCTCGATCCCAGGACCCCGGGATCATGACCTGAGCTGAAGGCAGACACTTAACGACTGAGCCACCCCAGGCGCCCCATAGGAAACTCTTTTTTTTTTTTTAAAGATTTTATTTATTTATTCATGAGAGGGAGAGAGAGAGAGAGGCAGAGGCAGAGAGAAGCAGGCTCCCCGCCGAGCAGGGAGCCCGATGCGGGACTCGATCCCAGGACCCCGGGATCATGACCTGAGCCGAAGGCAGACACTCAACGACTGAGCCACCCAGGTGCCCCTCCAGTCAACAGTTTTATATTTACATGTTCAGTCAAGTGTGAGAGACTTACTAGACAGAATTATACCTGCACCTCTTTTTAGCTCCAAAATGTCTCACGCCTACTTCAACACGATCCTTTGCCTTGTTTTTCACAGTTTGAGAATGCAGTTAGACAAATGTGGCAGAAGGAATGAAAACTGTAAAATGTGAAAAGCCTAGGATGCTGATTTAGGGAATTCATGTTTACATTTGATTCAACAAAGTTTGTTTTCCTTTTGCAAAGTTTCCATAAAATATGAATAGTAATATGTTTTAGTATTTGCTAAATACGCTTTTCAATTTAATAAAGGATAGATTTAAAAAAAATTTTTTTTTGAAAGTGCACAATTTTGGAAAGTTAAGTGCTTTTTCCTCTATTGACCTAACACATGTTTTTAATGGAAGTACAGTGTTACATTAGTTTCAGGTGTCCAGCATAGGGTTTGGGCAACTCCGTGCCTTAGCAGATGCTCCCTGCAGTAAGTCTGCTCACCGTCGGTGGCCATGCAGTTACTAGAGTCTTACCAGCGACCCTCCCGGTGCTGCACGTCTCATCCCCGTGACCCCCTTATTTTTTAACTGGAGGTTCGTACTTGTTAATGCCCTTCACCTGCTTCACCCTTCCCTGTAGTAACCACCCATTTGTTCTCTGTGTCTGTGAGTCTGTTTCTGGTGTGTTTGGTTGGTTCAAAGGCTTTTCAAATTTAACAAACGTAGGCTGTTTGATAGAAATTTTTCTTGACAGAATAAAATATTTTTGAGCCACCTGATATAATTTACTTTGTCTTTCAAGGAAACCATTTCAGGGTTTAACTCTTGTAATTGAAATGGATATATGTTCCCTGCATTGTTTGTGTCACTCGTAACAAAACACAAACCGTCAGAGTTCTTCGTGGCCCCGTCAGGCCAGGTACTTGTGGTTGCTTGTTGGTTCAGTAGCTCTTCTCCCCACATGCTTTCCAAGTGTTGTGTCGTGTTCTCGCTGATGGTCCAGAAAACTCCTATCAGTGCTGGGTCAGAGGGACCTTTACTCTCACGGGGGCATGCGTGGGTGATGGGGGTAGAAAGGTGCTGACAGTGAGGACTCTGTCCCTTCTGAGAAACACGTGGGCCCGTCTTGTCTAAAGCACTGCAGGGCGCCTGGGTGGCTCAGTTGGTTAAGCGACTGCCTTCGGCTCAGGTCATGATCCTGGAGTCCCTGGATCGAGTCCCGCATCGGGCT